CATTATTGCGTTTGTCCTTATTATTATTAATATTGTTGTTATTATTATTATTATTATTATTATCATTATCATTATCATTATCATTATCATCATTATTATTATTATCATTATCATCATCATCATTATTATTATTATTATTGTTATTATTATTATTAATATTGTTATTATTATTATTCTCTCTGCTCTTGACGGAATATGGATTTGATTTCCGGAGTATGTCTGTGATGAGAGGAATTTTTTAAAAATGAATAAATAAATAATAATAATAATAATAACAAAAACAACAACAACAACAACAACAACAATAATAATAATAATAATAGCAACCGTTCGCTGAGGAGGTCATCTTCGACACGATGACGCAATCTTCGTGGTAGAGATATTTGAGCAGTTGATGCTTATTATTATTATTATTATTATTATTGTTGTTGTTGTTGTTGTTGTTGTTGTTATAACTATTATCATTATTATTAACGACAATTTCATAGTCGTCTCTCTCATTATGTTTAAATTTAATGATGCTGTCGTTGTCGGTGGCCATTTTGGTTTTATTATGATAATTATTATTATTATAGTAGTTGTTGTTTTTATTTTTGTTATTATTATTATTTTTATTCTTATTCACGTTAGCGTTGTTGAAATAGAGGCACGTACAGCTCTGTCTGTCGAAATAATTTCTGCTGTCATAATTAGAATAATCATAATCATCATCGCGTTCTGAATTATAATAATAATTATTATTTTTATTATTATAACCACAATTATAAGTGTCGGTAGTAGTAGTACTAGTAGTAGTTTTGTAGTTATCGTCATCGCCAAAATAATGACGATGTTTATTAAAATTGCCACCATTGGAGTAACCATCATCAGCCAAAAGCCTGTCGGAATTTGATTGGCTCTCGGATGACCGTTTTTTGAATTTCCTACTCGCTGATTGGTTGGATTCAGTGACGTCATCGTGGTTTTCAGTTTTTTCAACGTATTTGCAACAGCGGTTTATTAAATTTGTGATGTAATCGTTAATTTTGTCTTCGACATCATCGTCGTCGTATTCATCATCATCTTCATCATCATTATTATTATTATAATTTTTCTTCTTCTTCTTTTTATTATTATTATTATTTATATTATGACCTTGATCGTCAACAATATAGTTTTTATACGTCTTGTTGTTATTATTTATATTGTTATTAATGTTATTATCTTGATTGATAGTATCTTGTTGTTGTTGTTGTTGAGGTTGTTGTTGTTGTTGTTGATGCTTTTTATTTTGATCATTATCACCACCACCACCACCACCACCATCGTCATCATACTCGTCTTCATCTTCTTCTAAAAGAATGCTATTTTCTAAGTAGTGATAAGAATTTTTTTCATGGTTACCATCATCACCATCGTCATCATCGTCGTCGTCGTCATCATCATCATCATCATCATCATCATCATCATCATCATCATCATTCACTAACTGCAATCGTATGGTTTGTAATAGAGATCATTATCATCACCGTCATCATCATCATCATCAGTATTATTGTTGATGACGTCACTGGCAAAGTCATCCTGATCGCCATTTAGGCTTCTGTACTTTCGCGTTTTTTTGTTTGGACGTTTCGGAAAATGCGTCATAGTGGCTGAAAAATCGTTGTTGTTGTTGATGTTATTGTTGTTGTTGTTGTTATTGATGTTGTTATTGATGTTGTTGTTGATGTTGTTGTTGTTGTTGTTGTTGATGTAGCTGCTGTTGTTGTTGTTGTTAATGTAATTGTTGTTGGCTTTGGTAACTTTGTTAATGTTGTTGATGTTAATGAGGTTGACGTTGTTGATGTTGTTGATATTGATGTTGTTGTCGTTGCTGTTAATGTTGTTGTTGTTGTTGTTTTGAAACAGATTCTTATACTCCGTATCAAACTGATATTCATCCTTGCTGGCCTGGCTGGCTTCGTTGACATTGTAAGGACTATTTAAGGTCTGGTACAAAAAGAATAATAATAATAATTATTATTATTATGTTTAATAATAATAATAATAATAATGAAATAGTATTATTACTAGTACTACGACGACTACTACTACTACTAATAGTAATAATAATAATAATAAAAATATTATTGATAATAAATTTCAAAAATTGGGTAGGTAACATTTCTAATCTGCGTGTCAATGTCAGTTATCGAATGCCTCTTCTGTACGTAAAATTAAAACAAATTATGATTAATAATTATAAATAATTAATAATAATAATAATAACAATCAATAATAATAATATTAATAATCATCATTATCATCGTTAGAAAAGTAATCATCATCAATAATCTGACCCGTTTATTTTTAGCTTTGCCTGACGTCATACGTTTCCCAGATTTTAATTGGCTGTTGAACGAATCAGGGCGTGGACTATTCATGACATCTGATCTATTTGCATTTGTTGCCAGGCTATCGTCAGCGAGCGTTGATATCAAAGGCATCTTGGGGTTTTGAAAATTTTTACGTTCAATAGTTTTGAAGTTTTTATCCAGATAGCGTTTGAACCTAGTTTCAGCGAGATAACAAATACAAGATATAGCACTTCTACCGTTTGAGCTACAGAAAATAAGTTAAGGGCGTTTATGTTTCGCAAAAATTTTATATTTTCGCGAGTTTAATCGCAAAAATTTAATCAAAATTTTGATTTTTTGTTATTATTATCACAAAAGACTGTAAAACGTTCTCACCCCTATCATCAACCTCCAGTTACCACCACTTCCATCATCGTCGTCACCATTCAGCCCGCGTTCACCCCCGTCAACTTTCAACATTGCGTATGTAGAAGCAGCTTGGGGTGTCTTGTTGAATTGTAGTGGCTTCAACTTCTTCCTCACCACTGAATTCGGAATATTTCCTGGAAAGTATAAGAATTAAACAAATGTTATATGCAATAATTTCTATTATTTATTTATTTTTGTTTATTTATAACCTACTCGTATAAATTAATTAACTTTCTGTGACCTAATTGCATAAATAAACTGAAACTCAGTGATCTATTAACATGAATCAATCATCTTTTCGCGACCTATTTGCATGAATTCTTTAATCTCGAGTGACAGATTTACATGGATCAATTGATTTTTTGTGACCTACTTACATTTTCCCGTGACCTTAATTTTCACCTGACTCATTTACATAATTTTCAACCACGTGACCTACTTACCATCCGGAGCTACTGGATACTTCTCCCTCTGGTCCTCTAACCATCTCTGACGTTCTTCAGCAAGTTTTGCTCTCAATTCTTCTTCATCAATCTGAGTCTGAATGAAAGAATGAATGAATGACGGATGGATAAATAGATAGATGGATTGATAAATGGAATGAATGAATGAATGAATAAATGAATGAATGAATAAATGAATGAATGAATGAATGAATGAATGAATGAATGAATGAATGAATGAATGAATGAATGAATGAATGAATGAATGAATGAATGAAAAAGGCATGGATTGATTGATTGACGGATGGACGGATGAATGCCAGTCGCATTTTAGTTTTCATGCATTCAATAAATAAACGAATGAATGAATGGGTGATTGATTAATTGATTGAATTAATGAACAAACAAACGAAAAACAAATAAATGGATGAATGAATACAAAGTTATTTAAACAATTTTTCAAATTACAATGTGAACGATACCTTTTCAGGCACCTCTGAAATCGTATCCTTCAATGAATCAGCATCTAACTTTTTTGGTTTATCTTTCTTTTTTACGTTTGTAACTTTTTTCTCTGATGTAAAAAGCGCCATTGTTTGTAAGCATCGTCGTCGCCGTTAACGTCATCAGTGTGTGTGTGTGTGTGTATATATGTAATGTTCGTTTGAGTGTGTGTGTATGTGCAACGTACGTGTGTGTGTGTGTGTGTGTGTGTGTGTGTGTGTGTGTGTATATATGTAATGTACGTTTGAGTATGTGTGTATGTGCAACGTACGTGTGTGTGTGTGTGTAGAGTGCGTGTGCGTGTGTGTGCGTATAAATGTGTGAGTGAGTGTGTGTGTTAAAATAATACTTTTTATTATACTAACGCAGTAATTTTCCAAGCTTTGGTTTGGCAACAGTCTGTTTAGCGTTAGCATTACCACTACTACCTTGTGTGGCGGTCGTATTGGCGGCTGCTGTAGCCGATGAAGTAACTTTCTTAGACATTATACATCTATGTTAATGTTATTTTTACTATTTATCATAATTTTATTATAAATTTATTATATCATTATTACGTCACATTTATTAATAATAGTTATCATTTGTGCCAGTTTAGATACGTGCTATAAATAGCTCCATAACTTACATTATTATTATTGTTAATTATTATATTATATTATAACCCCATATATATATATATATATATCACTTATCTAATTATTACTATTTATATTATTATTATTATTATTATTATTAATTCCGCTGGGTTATATCAGATTACAAGAACAAAAATTTAGCTGCATTTGGTTGATTTATTTATTTCGAAACTTTCTTGTTTGTTAATAGTGATCGCGACGATGACGATGATGATGAAACTAATGATGATGATGATAATAATAATTATAATTGTAATTATAATTATAATAATTATGATGATGATGCTGATATCAAGATAGTTAAGCCATCATCACATTGATACTGTAATGACGATGATAATAGGATGATGATGATGATAATGATGACGATATTAGTAATAGTATTGATGATGGTGATAACGATGATGATGATGACGTCATGATACTTAAGTCGTCATATTGATACTGTGATGACGATAGGATGATGATGATGAAGATGATACAATGATAATAACTACATTGATTTATCGGCGATGATGGTGATGATGAAAAAATTGTGATGATGAAGACGATGATGATGATGTGTTAACGTCTTAACGATATATTATATCAAATTGCTTTTTGTTTACGTTGCAAATGCTTGAAATTTTTTCCAAATATGAATATCACGCTACCTTATAAACATTTAGCATAGGCCTTCTATAAATATTATTATTATCATTATTATTATTATTATCATTATTATTATCATTATTATTATCATTATTATTATTGTTATTATTGGTTTTACCATTATTATTGTTATGCGTGTTGTTAATGATAATAGTGTTTTTTTTGTTATTGCAATTTTTCCAGCATTCCTTAGCAACTGTGGGTAACAACAATAAAGTCCCTGACAACCAGCAAAGTGGAAACATGAGTTTCATATATTATATAACAACGTGTATGATATACAATATATATATATATATATATATATATATATATATATGAATGTATACACCTAAGTATATATGCATACATACGCACACTACACACACACACATGCGCGCACACACACACACACACACACACAAACACACGAATGTTATATAGAATGTCATGTATGACATTGATACAAAACTACAATACCAAGTCACATATCTTAGTGTATATACGTGTGATTTAATTATATATACTTATATTATATATTCTCTCTCTCTCTCTCTCTTTCTCTCTCTTTTTTTCTTTCTCTCTTTCTCTACATATTTGGCTTGATTTATATCTTTAATTACTTTCCTACTTGTCTGAAACGAACCAGATATTTTATATAATCAAACAACAGCAACAAGATAAATCATTTTTATTGTAGTTATTATTATTTTTATTGTTATCATTATCGTCATCATCGTCGTCGTCGTTATTATTATTATTGTTATTATTATTTTTGTTACGCTCTTCAAAAAATAAAATCTGAGGCGATAAAGAGCTGAATGGCGCATACAAACAATGCAAAATGACTTAGATTGATGGGGGAAAGTTTCTTAATGTTGAATATGAATGTAACCACTCGCATATTATAAACTACACGGCTGCTAAAAACAATATTACATAAGTTTGCATGTTGATGATACGTATAGAAAGAGAGGGAAAAAGAAAGTGAAAAAATGAAAGGAAACAAAAAAGTGTGTGTGTGAGAGAGAGAGAGAGAGAGAAAGGAGAGAGAGAGAGAGAGAGGAGAGAGAGAGAGAGAGAAAGAAAGAAAGAAAGAGTAAGAGTATCAATCGAACAGATGGGTCTTGAGATCCGCTCTGAACTTCGTTCGTGAGTGATGGAGGAGTAGTCAGAGAAGGAGGTAGAGAGTTCCAGAGAAGAATGCCAGCAGAAGCATACGCAGATCTAGTTAAGAGTGTTTAACACGAGTTAAGAAGAAAAGAGAACAAGAGAGGGAAAGAATAAAAAATGAAAATTTCAACAAAGAATGAATAAAGTAGACAAGAAACAGAAAATGAAAAACGGAGAATCATGAAAAGAGAGAGAGGAAGAGAAAGTAAGAAACACAGAAAGAAAAGAAAGCGAGAGAGAGAGTGAGTGAGTGAGAAAAGGAGGAGGAGTGGCAGAAGGAAAGAACGAACGAATGGAATTGTTTATTTAACACAAAAATATGTAGATCACACAACAACAGATGAAATAACATATAAAAATAGGTTCGTCATTAATAGAAATATTTTTTTGCTACTGTTATCATTAAGCAACAAAAAGCCTCTTTGTATAGGTAAACAGTCGTTTTAACTTTCAACACAATTTGAGTTTATATTTTTAATGATAGTTTTATAGCGACACAAAAACAACAACAAAACTATTACTTCTTATGCAGTTACCAACACTACTACAGTTACTACAACTACTACTGCTGCTGCTACTAATACTCCTCTTACTGTTACTACTATCTCTAGTACTACTACTGCTGCTGCTGCAGTAGCTGCTATTACTACTACCACAAATAAATTTTACTAACGCTAAACCCATTATATCCCAATGATTTACCTAGCTTTCGCTACATAATATGCCATATTTATCTTCTGTACATCGGTACAATAACTCAGACATAAGATTCGTTGCAATCATTGTTATCATATTTGCTGGTATTATCATCAACGTTGTCCTCATCGCCATCACTACTGTTTGTGATAATAACAACAGCATCATCGTCGTCGTCGTCGTCGTTATTATTATCTATATTATTATTATTGTTGTTGTTGTTGTTGTTGTTGTTGGTATTACTGTTGTTGTTGTCGTTGTTGTTGTTGGTATTTTTACTGGAAGCAGTAGTGGTTGTAGTAATGTTGCTAGCCGTGAAACCATGACTAACAATGTTATCAACGTTACTACCATTTAAGATCTTTGTAAACTTTATACAATCACCATCAGTGGCTCGTCTCCTACTTAGTTTGTTCTTTTTACTATAGACACTACCTCCAGTATTACTAGACACCTTGCTAATACTCATTCTTCCCTTATAGGCATTATTACCACTAGTATTTTCACAGCAGCTACCGCAACAGCCACAGCAGCTACCACAACAGTTACGGCAGCTACGGCAGCAGCCACAGTTGCGACAACACCAACAGCAATATTTACAAATAACGTAAGTTAGTTCCTCTCTAAATTTTTTACCAGTCAAACAATACAGAAAGAAATTGACACTGTGATTGAGGTACGCTAGTTGGTTGTTGATAGCTTTGAAGATATCGTAGACTGAATTTGCACTTCCGTCTGGCCAAAGGGACCAGTAGGGCCTTCCAATGACCATAACAATACTGGGTAGGACGCAGATTACGAATAAGACTGAAGCACCAACACACATGAGAGCTGTCTGTTTGTATTTAACCCTTTGAGCGTTTGCTTGTTTGTTTACGTGTTTGTTGTTGTTAGTATTAGAAGTAGTAGTAGCTACAACAGCAGCAGCAGTAGTAGTACCCTTGTTGCTATAATTGATGTTGTTGTTGATGTTGTTGATGTGGTTGTTGTAATTATAACTGTGAGATATACCGACGGTATTGTTACTTGCTACTGTAAATACAACTGGCGCATTTTTATGCTGACAGCCAACAAAACTACCACAACTACAGTTACTATTTATACCAATAACGCTACTACTAATACGGTTACTATTGTTAAAAGCATTGCTACTACGCTTACTGACTTTAATTTTAGCACTATGAGTATTAGATTGACTCGATTTAATCCTACTTTTGAAGTTTTTAACAAGTCTCGAGATGATAAGGGCGTTGCAGATGAGAAGGATGAGTGTTGGAATCAAACTGACTAGGGTGAAGGCGATCCACGGCCTCACAACGTTCTCAAAATTAGTGAAATCCGGATTTTTAGTGCATTTTAAATTCTGTCTGCTGTACGTCGAGACGTCGTTGCTGATGTTTTTGCTATTGATGTCAGAAATAATGCTCTTGTTGTTGTTGTTGTTGTTGCTGTTGTTGTTAATGTTGGCAGCATGATTTGAGATTGGATTAATGTTTGCATTTATACCGTAACTTACTGTGCTGCTAATATTGTTAGTAGTTGTATTAATATTTTTAACGTTACTGGCCGTAGTAGCATGTTCACCGTAAACACCTCTAGTAAAAAATACGTGAAAATTTTTGGCGAAAGCTAATAGAAATGCAACGAAGCAGGCTATCTTAGCTCTCCTTGGGATACAAACGACTCTCTTCTTGAACGGGAAACATACAGCTATAAACCTATCCAAGGTGAATAACACCAAAATCCATATAGCCGTATCGCTAGCCGTGTAAAAAATAAATCTTTCCAACTGGCATGAGAACGCGCTAATTGTATTAAAAGTCGGTAGATGTAGGGATCGGTTAAGTTCCGGTATAATACCGGATACTAGAGCTATGGTATCGAAAACTGCGAGTGTCGATAGGTAGATACTGGATGTGGAGCCACGGAATGATTTACGGTTTGTGATTAGGAGGATTAAGGGGTTGCCACACAGGCCGATGATTAATATGAATGGGGAGGCATATATCCAGAGTAGATCTTCTAATGTTATTGTAGATGAGGATGATGCTTTTGTTGATGTTGTTGTTGGTGGTGGTGGTGTTTGTGACGTTGTTGCTGTTGTTGGTGATGGTGGCTCTCGCGACGTTGTTGTTGTTGATGATGTTGTGGCTGTAGTCTCTGGTGATGTTGCCAATGTCGTTGTTGATTGGTTTTCGTTAGATGTTATCGAGTCAGTAGCAGTAATAACTGTAGATAGAATTGTTGGGGTTACTGCATCAGCTGCAGCAGCAGCAGTAGCAGCAGCAGTAAGAGTAGCAGCGGCAGTTTTAGTAGTAGTAGTAGTAACTAAAATCGAAACCGTGAATGCAATTAAAAAGTATAATCTTACAAAAGGGGTGAACAACTTAAGCCTTGAGTTATAGATCATCCTCGTCGTCGTCGTTATCAATAATGTACTTCTTACATTCAACTCATCTTAACCATTTTTTAATTTTCGTTGTTGTCAATGTTGTTGTTATTATTGCTGTTGTTGTTGGTTGTTGTTGTTGTTGTTTTTCTAATTGCATTCAACTTATCATTGTTGCGTCTGTTTCAAAAAATAATAATAACAAAATTATTGTTATTATTATTATTGTTGTTGTTTTTATTATTATTATTCCTCTTATTATTGTTGCTATTTGTTTTGGAATGCTATGTCAATATGGAATAAATTAAATTTTATTGCTATGAGAGCATTGTACGAACAACACTGAAACCAAAAAAATTTCAATTGATCATAATGATATAATTTATAATAATAATAATAATAACAATAATCAATATTATTTCTATTATTATTCTTGTTACTATTAATGTTATTAATAATTTTGTTATGAATGAATGAGTGAATGAACGGACGAATGAATGAATGAATAAATAAACTAACAGTCCCACAGTAGCAAAGCTTGAACACTCAAAAAATAATTTTGCTAGAGAGAGAGAGAGAGAGAAAGAGAGAGAAAGAAAGAGAGAGAAAGAGAAGAGAGAGTAGTTAGAAAAAAATTGATTAAATGCAACGTAATAATAAAATATTATAACTAATCATGAAATATGAGTGAACATTCATAATTGTTATTTATACCCAAAAAAATTACGTATTAAAAATGAGAAATGAAGTAATAAATTAGAAACTGGAAAAAATTCACCTCATTCGTTTACATGAAAAAATCTCAATTGTAAATCACCTTTATTGTTAATGTTAAATTTGGCATAATACAAATAACAACAACAACAACAACAGAAACAACAACAACAACAAATAATAATATTAACAACAACAACAATAAATAATAATAATAATTAGCACAATTTTGTTTATAGTTATTATAAATAATCCTAATAACCTTTTAATTGATACCTGCAATAGCACAGTTTAGGCAAAAACATACATTGGCGTGAATTGCAGAACTCCATATATCATTATTCTTTGGACCGCCTGTCAAAAATAAATAACAATTATAATAATAATAGTAATATCAATAATAATAATGTATTAATAATAACGAAAGAATGAATAGTAAAACTATTATAATGTAACAATGATATAACTATTCCTGCTACTGCTACTACTACTGCTGCCACTGTTACTACTACTACTACTTTTACTACTACTACTTCTACTACTACTACTACTACTACTACTACTACTACTACTACTAATAATAATAATAATAATAAAAATGAATAAGATACTACTAAACATTTTTAAGAAAACAAAAAAAATTTGTGATGGCTAATTAACTCATTGTTACATTATAACAATGCCTTTTCAATATTAGAAATACCACTATTACTAACGCTGCTACTACTACTACTACTACTACTACTACTTCTACTACTACTACTACTACAACTTTTACCAACACCACCACTACTACTACTCATTACTACTACTACTTACCACTACAACTACTACTACTACACCTTGCAGTAAGAGTAATTTTTAAACTGTTACAAATCAATATCGTCACGGTCGGACTTGTGCTGAAGTGATTAGCAACAGTAATGATGAAGAATTAGCGCCGATTCCATCAGCCAATCATTGTCGTTGGTGGAAACTGATGACGATGACGACAACGATGATGATGACGATGATGATGATAATGGCGATAGTTATGGTTGCAGTTGTTGTTATTGTTGTAATTGTTGTTGTGGATGGATGGTGATGTTTATAATTTTGATAAAGATGATTCCGACGAAGTTGCTGATGTAGTTGCTGATGATGATGATGGTATATATGAAAAGAATAGTGATGGTGATGATGACGATGATGACGATGGTGATGATGCTAGTGGTGATGATGATAGTGGCAAAACAATGATACGATGATACCTTACAAATATTATTTTAAAAAAACTTACGTCATTAAACTCGCCAATAAACAAAAATTAAAGAAGTTTTAACGACGATGTAAATTAATCAATTAATCAATCAATCAATTATTATTCTTAATTAATTATTATCTTCATAATAGTAATAATCATAAACAGGTTTTACTCAGTTCATAATGAAAACCACTAGCTCAACATCTAAAACTCGTACTTAAAACTTAATTCTCGCTTATATACGTCTGGATATTCACGCTCATATATAGAAACATACACACACATACATACTTACATACATACTTACATACATACTTACATACATCCATACTTACATACATATATATAAAACAATATATAAATGTAATAGAAGTGTATATATAAATATATATAAAACAATTGTATTTACAAGTCTCAACCATATTATATATATATATATATATATATATATATATATATATATATATATATATAATATCAAAAATTCAACACTACTTTCAACATTGTTCAACTTTTTCATATTTCTTTTTAATTTATTAATGTCAGAAAAATTAGACATTTTATTGTTTTAAAAATTTTATTAAATAAATTTGCAGATTTAATTTTATTTATTGAAACTTTTAAAACAATAGAATGTCTAATTTTTCTGACATTAACAAATGAAAAAGAAATATAAAAAAGTCGAACAATGTTGAAAGTAGTGTTGAATTTTTGAAATGTTGCGTTAACAACAGTCTGTTACCAAAATATATATATATATATATATATATATATATATATATATATATATATATATATATATATGTGCGTGTGTGTGTGTATGTGTGTGTACGTACGTATATATGTATGTACATTGGTCTATATTTATTTGAGATAAGAATATACCATCTTATGTATTAATTGTTCTGCTGCCATTGGGTTAAACGGTTTCCTTATAAAAGTCATCAGTACAGACGTGTGTGATTCATGCTTATATATGCAAATATGACTCCATACATACACACACACACATTGAGAAAGTGAGAGAGAGAGAGAGAGAGAGAGAGAGAGAGAGAGAGAAAGAGAGAAGGATGGGTAGTATTTTCAATACTCGTTAAATAATTAAATGATTGATAATAATGATATTTACTAAAGAATTGATTGTTTGATTAGCTTATTGATTGATTGATTGATTGATCGGTTGGTTGGTTGATAACTTGTTTGTATTTAAGCCTCGAACATTAAGAAAATTGTTCATCCATTTAGATTTTGTAATGAAAAAGACAAAAACACATTTTTTCTTTATTCTATTTTTTAAAAAAATTCGTAAAAACCAAAATAAATCTACAACGACGGAAACAAAGCGTCCTTAATATATAATATATATATAATATATATATATATTATTATGTGTGTACGTGTTTTTTTTGTTTGTGTGTGTGTGTCTATTATATATATCATCATCTGTCCATCAATTATTATAGAGTTTAACAATGTTTGAAGATGAAAAAATTTACTGAAAAAATAAACTAAAATATATATGTATATATCGGTGCCTGTTTTAATGTATATTGTATTGTTTGTGTGTGTGTGCGTGCGTGTGTGTGTTTGTGTGTGTGTGTGGTGTACGTATATTAGCGTCTTTAAAAGAAGAGACTTAATTAAGTTTAAAAATGAAAAACTGTAAAATAAAATGAAGCAACAATTACATCTATGTAGGAACAGAGCAGAGAGGGGAAAAATAGTTGAACGTTTATATAAAAATCGGAAAAAAATATTATTTTTAATCCTGTCATAATTATTATTATTATTAATTTGTATTTATTATTAATATTTTGCACTTATTATCATTATTGTTATTTATTAATATTATTCAGGTTTTCTATTAAGGAAAACATGGAAGTAAAATTATTTAACATGCAGTTGACAAGATTAATTCAAAAATCAGATCTCTTGATATTGATAGCAATAAACTTATATGATAATAGATTCTAAAAGATTGCGAAATTTAAAAAAACTACATCGAACAGTCAGCTTGATGAGTCATCTTACAAAACTTCTCTTGAGAATTCTGACGATGAGAGTACGAAGCAAAATCAGATCTGAAATTTCAAATATCCAAATGTGGTTTTGTAGAGGATTGTTGCCACAAGAAACGCTATCTCTATGCTACGAATGATCAGTGAACGAGCGATTGAAATGAAGAAAGGCTTATTTGTATGTTTTGTTAATTACTCTAAAGCTTTTGATAGGGTGAAACACGTGGAACTTATGGAAATATTGAAAAATTTGACATTGATGGAAAAAACACGAGAGTCATCAAAGACCTCTGCTGGGAACAAAGAGCAGCAATGAAAGTCGGTAATAGGATGACAAGTCGGTAATGAAAAGAGGAAATTACTACAGATAATCCGACGGGGGCAGTTAGAGTTTTTTGGTCACATCATGCGGAAGGAAAGAATGGAAAATCTAACAACTACTGGACAGATTGCAGGGAAAAGAGATCGCAGTTAACAATGAATAACATTCTTGAAGTTCTTGTGTCACTTGTTGAATATCGCCACATATCACCATATTTCAATTACTACAAAGTGTTAAAGATTGGGTTTTGATTCTGAAAGGATAAGGCACGAGAAAGAATAATAATAATAATAATAACAATAATAATAATTATTATTATTATATTAATAATTTTAATTATTCCTCTCATTATTTTCAATATTATTGTTACAGTTGATAAAGTTTAAAGGTTAAGAAAATATACAGGATTTTTACTATGACGAATCGTTTGCATATATGTAAATTCATATATATATATTCATTAATGATCATAATAATTGCAATAATATTAATAATATCAAGAAGAATATTTTTGTTACTATTATTTTGTTTAAAAAAATTACAGACCTTTAAATAAAAATATATATGTATATATGTATATATATATATATATATATATGTATATATATATATATATATATATATATATATATATATATATATATATGCGTAGTACAACATAGCTTAATTAGCCTAAATATATGTATAACATAAAGTTCTTTATATCTATTCTAACTGATGAGATAGAATGAAGGAAGAAAAATCTGAGTGAATAAATGATCGAATAAATGGATAAACGGTCAAAAAATGAATGAATGATAGAATGGTTGAATGGATGGATCAACAGATGAATAAATAAATGAATAATAAAATTGAGGATGGACCACTTAATCGTTATATACCCTTTAAAAAGTTCACTTTTAAACTTTGCTCTCTCTAATCCCTCTTCCTTTGATTAGGGAATTAGTGAAAACAGCAGCCAGTCGGAATAGTTGGAATGCACATACATGACCAAACATGTGATCGTACCAGTGAACGCTGTGACCTCTGTATGTTTGTATGTATGCTTGTATGTATGTTTGTATGTATGTTTGTATGTATGTTTGTATGTATGCTTGTATGTATGTTTGTATGTATGCTTGTATGTATGCTTGTATGTGTATTTATATCGAAATAAAATAAATAAATAAACTAAGCATGGCATAACCGTCATTTGTCATACACTAACATCCTTACACATACACACAAACAAACAAACAAACACTCACACACACACACACACACACACGTGTACAGATAAACACACAAACTTACTTATAATCAATACAACTCAACATTATCACTTTCGATCTGCCAGAACCACAGGGCTCTATGTAGTAGTGTGAAGCGAGAACCTCGGCGGCTACCAGCGATGATGATGACGTAGATGATGACGAAAGCATTCTGGAATGTTCTGCCGACTGACAGACCAATACACACGTTTGATTGACTGGGTCCGTTCTCC